ACTCACATATGCAGGGAGGGCTCCCCCAAACTGGGGTGAAAGGCATGACTTTTCTGGGAAAAAAATAAAAATAAAAAAAGCTTTCCTCTGAAAGCTTAGGCTTCTTAAACTCAGAACCAAACTGACTCAGAGGAAGGAGAGTTTTAGAAAAGGAACAGAAAAGTAGTCCACTGCATTGTTCTTTGGCTCCCAATTAGCCCAAACCCTGGCTCTGCTTTCAGTGAACTCTCAGCCTCTCCATGTGTGAAGCCTTCAAGAAACCATTTTTTAAAAAGCTAGACTTTCTTGACCAAAAGAATAAAATCTGAATCTGATTAGCTTCTAGACAGAATTCCCAGTATACAAGAAAACTATGGGACAGAGGAACATCTTAAATGACACCACAGGGATGCAATCAGCATAATTCTGAATATGAGAAACCACAGGACAAATGACACAGTTCTCTAATAATAAACAGCAAGGAGAAAAAAGGAGAGAAAATACATAAAGAAACTAGAGAAATGCATCAGACAAATTCAATGTGTAGACCCTGTTTAGATCACAATTCAAATCAATTGTAAAAGTAAATTCATAAGACAATCAGAAAAATGGAATCCTGACTGAATATTTGCTGAATTTAAGAAGAGATCATTATCCTATTTAGATGTGGCTGTGGTGCTGTGGTTAGGTTCATGCAAAGCCCTTATTTCTTGGGAATACAAACTGAAATACTGATGATGAAATTTTGGGATGTCTGGAATTTGCTTTTGTAGGGGGTAGGATGTGAGAGAGATAAATTAAACTCAATTGGCCATAAGTTGATGATGGCAGTGGCTAAGCAATGGAAACAGAGAAGTTCACTAGACTATTTCCACTGCTTTCATGTATGCTTGAAATTTTCCCTAATAAAAAAAATTTTTAAGATAGCATTTCTCGGCCAGGCACAGTGGCTCATGCCTATAATCCCAGCACTTTAGGAGGCTGAGGCGGACAGATCACCTGAAGTCAGGCGTTTGAGACCAGCCTGGCCAACGTGGTGAAACCCTGTCTCTACTAAAAATACAAAAATTAGCTGGGCGTGGTGGTGGGTGCCTGTAATCCCCGCTACTCAGGAGGCTGAGGCAGGAGAATCGCTTGAACCTGGGAGGCGGAGGTTGCAGTGACCCGAGATCACACCACTGCACTCCAGACTGGGGGACAGAACGAGACTCTGTCTGAAAGAAAACAAAAACAAAAAACAAACAAACAAACAAAAGATAGTATTTCTCCTCCTAATCTCTCCATTACATTTTTACGTTTTTTAAATCAACAGCACCTTATTAGTCTTAATGATGCCACGAGCAACTGTATTATCAAAAGTAACCTGCTTTCCATGGAGAAATGCAAAAATGGTTGCCCTCTGGGTAAAATTTTGACATCATCACCATTCAGATGTAAGTTTACTTTAATTCACACCCCATGACATACCCTCTGTGAGATCCAGCCACTGGGGACAAAGAAGATCTCTAAGTGACAAAGGAGCATTATTTCCAGACCTGGCAATGATGTCCTTTCATTTTATCTTTATAAGTTAGTGTCAGATTTTTCTAGAGGCTGACTTGGCTGATAAAATGTAACAAGTCTGGCTAATCCCAGACCAGAGATACTATGCCTGACAAATCCATTTTGAAAAAGGAATTCTGGGTATGGTTCTCAGAGCAGCCTTGCCCACCTTCCAGTAAACAACCAGGTTCTCTGTGCCTAGCTGCCTTTGGCTTAGGGTGTCTGTCTCCTTAACATATGGGCCAGAAGTGAGTAGAGGCGACTTTGGCATTGATTTGGCATTCTGATGGGCAGTGAGGGAGAAGGGCCTCTCTTGGCTTTGCCCTGGCTTTCCCCCACCTCAGCCTCATTCTCTGGTCACTGTCCCTGCCTGTGTAGATCACATTCTTTATGCCATTTCTCTCTATCTCTACCTCTCCTAACCTAGTCATTTTTCCAGCCTTATATCTCTACTTCTCCTAAAGCCTAGCTCTGCCTCTCCACTCTTCCCAATTAACAACCCTATAAGCACTGCCTATTTGACATTTCTCAGACACTGAGCTGCCCACAGTGTCTCTCTTAGGGTTCTTCCATAATTTGGCTCTTCAAGAGCTATCTGACCAACCAGTCTGTGAGTTGCTGGAGGACAGGGAAGCGCTATATATCCTTTCCATACCCTCCACAAAGCCAATAACTGTGCTTGATAGCTCTTGATAGCTGACAAATACACTTTAGCTGATGGACTAGATATCAATTTGCAAACAACGAAACATGTGCAAGTCCGCAGAGCTGGTGTGAACTAGATAGGCTGCCACTGGTCTACATGGCTCCTTCATGCAATTATTTTAAAAAGTACTTTCTGAGGTACCGATAAAGTTCTGTCTTGATCTGGTAGTGTGCCATGAGTGTATGTATAAAAAAATCCCATCAATATGTATGTTCCACTGTACATTAGGCATATCTCCATAAATAAGTAAATGAATTAATGAGTGAATGATGCCCCTTCCTTTAAGAGGATGCAGCCTACACCAGGGCACACAGCTTGGAAAGTGGAGCCTGGGATAGAGTTCAGCTTTCTCCCAAACCAGCACTCCTTGGAAAAGACACAGATTATATAATTGTGCATGGCCACCTTGACACCAGAAACAGAGAGACCTTCCTTGAGGGATTCTCTAATGCCCAAAGTTCCACATCATCCCAACAGGCTAAGAGGCAGAACTATGGGTGTGGCAACACTGCTACTCATGGGATTCAAGTCAGGTTTTTCAGTGGCAAATGCTGGAGCCACCTCCTCACAGAGTCCAAGTCAGCTCAGTATGAGGATGAAAAGACTAATTCAGCCTGGGATGACAAGGTAATATGGCAATAGGATTTAACTCCCCCAGAATCATCTCCCTTTTTCCTGGTCCTCTACCCACCTCTATGAGGTTTCTGATTGCCCCAAAACTCAAAATCTTACTGAAAGCAAATATGTCTCTGTGCTAATGCTCTTTCCTGAATGCCCAGAAGCACATCTACAGGGCTTTTTCCTCATCAATGGGCCAATCTGTTCAGTAGCATCTTAGAAGAGAACATGCTAAATTTGGCATCTCAGGTACCTGAGATGCTCTAGTGAGAGGAAGTAGAAGCCATTGTGATACTGAAGGAGAGATAAGCCATGGAGGTGCTGCTCAGCTGAGGTGCTATGAGAAGCTGAGTATCAGCTGGAGGAGTAAATCCCACCTCCTAATGGTCTCTAGTTCTCACCTCCTGAGCCTGATAGTCACAGGACCTCAGCACCACAGGCCCAGGTATGAGCCTTGCCCACAGCCAGGTAAGAGATTGTATGACTACTAAATCCAGCAAGAGTCCATGGTTCCCCTCACCCACAGTGGTTCATGGGTCTGCCCTGCAGCAGAATGTACAGATGAAGTAGAAATGAAACACTAAAAAGGCGTATGAGCAATAGACATCAGCCTCCTTACAGTCCCTCTGAGCTGCCCAGGTCTTTCCAGAATTTTGTATGATTGGCTCTGCAACATCTGATAAACTACAAGCAGAGCAGCCTGTTTGGTTATCAGAAGAGAAATGACAAATTCCCCATACAGGGAACTCTCAATAACAAGGTGTTTTTCCATTCAGCTACAGAAGCTTTCCCTTAGAAGGAGAACACTAAAGCCTGGGTGGGCCTCCGTCAAGCTAAAACCCAAACAGCAACTCAACACGCAGCAAAATGGACAGTGTTTGCAGTGCTAAGAGCTGTGTGCTATCCAACTGCATTACTATTATAGCTAGTGTAAAATGGACAAATCCCACCTCTAAAAAGGATGCTCACAGGCTGACCTGTCTGCCGCAGGTTTCAAGCTACTTAAGAGCTTTTCATTACTGTTTGTTGTCTAAGAAATGACTTCTGAGGAAATAAACACACAAGAGATACAGTCGGGCAGCCAAAGAATAAAAAATTATGCATTCTCACAGTTTATGTGCTCCCACACAGAAAAGCCAGGGCAACATGTATCAGCAGACTCACATGGAGCTGGAAGCACCTCCCTCCCACCCCCCTGGGGGTTTTGCTACTCCCCAAGCCTATTTGGTGCAAAGATAATGCCTTCCATTTTATCCTGTCATCTCTTAGTAGTTTTCCTGAGTTTTCAGTCTACGACTTATTATATATTGGCATTCCCTTACAGCCTTCACTGCCACTTGACTGTTTTTGCAGGACCTGGGTTGGCATACATTTAAAACAAACTGGTTTCACAGTATTTAATCAGATATGTTCTGTTTAAAGCATTCTGTGTGGCTTTCAGCTTTTCCACTGGTTTGATCTAAATCATAAGGTAACAAGAACATATCTGGTGCTGGATGACTCAATAGCATTTTTGCTTCACCCCAAAATGTTTCCCTAAACCTTGGTGAAAGCACATGATCCTATTAGTATTGTTGGGCCTAAATAAGCACCTCTTGGTGTCCAGTGGGCAATTTTCCTTTCCCCCAAAGGTGATTACAGCCACTAAATGCCCAAGGAAAGCTCAAGACCAAGTTCATGGTTCAACTATTTTCATCTCTCTGTTCCTCGCAGTGACAATTATCTTCCCTGACAGCCACTCCCATTGTGCTCTTTCCTCGGCCCAGCACAATGGACACATGCAGACACCAGCAGACAGGGAGGACGTTTTCCATCCCATTGCTCCCCTGTGCGGAGGGACCAGGCTAAGGTTACATAAGCCCCTCCTGAGCGGTCAGGCCCAAGCGTTGGGGAGAAACGAATTTGGGGTTCGTGACGGAGTCACGGTCTGCAGGCCCCGACTGACCCTGCGCTCGTCATCCTGCCACGCCAAAGCGGGGCAGCTGGAAAGGAAGGGCCGCTTCCCGCGACCACCCAGTTCACACCAGTCCGGCAGGGTTCAAAGTGCGGCCGGACGTCGAACCTCGCTGTCCACACTAGATCGCGGGATCCTGGGCCCGGGCCCCGGCCTCAGGCTGCAGCTCACCGCCCCCCGGGCGCCGAGACACGCGCTTACCTGCCCGGGCCAGGGCCGGGGCCGGGGCCGGGGCCGGGGCCAGGGACCGGTGGTACAGCGGTCGACCGCGCTGCTCCAGCCGCGGGGAGCTGTCCGCCGCCGGCCGGTGCTGAAGGAGGCTTTCCTGCGCCGGGGCTGGGGCCGGGGCCGGGGCCGGGGCCGGCGCCTCCGGGCGGCAGCGGCCCGTCGCCAGCGCCGCCCTCCAGGCTGGCCTCGTTGCCCATGGCGGGCAGGCGGGCGGGCGGGGTCGGGGTCGCGCTGCGCCCGGGCCGGCGGCTGCCGGGCAGTGCTCACACTCTCGGCGCCGCCGCCGCCGCCGCCGCCGCCGCCGCCATCTCCCAGCTCGGCTAGCGCCGCCGCCTGCCGCTGCGCATGCGCGTCTCGCAGCCCCCGTCCCTGCATACGCCCCCTCCCCCTGTGCGCGCTCCCGCCAGCCCGCTAGTACGTGTGTCCACGCGCCAGCCTCGGTGTCGCTGGGAAACGGCCGCCGGCGCCCGCGCATGCGCTGTCCAGGACCTACGCGGCTGTCGCGTGCTGAGAAGGAGCCGGGCGGGGCCCGGCGGGATCGTTGCGAGGGCCCTGTGAGGAGGGGCACCTGCCACTGGAAGCGGCCTCGGGGTCGTCGCGCTGAGCCCTGCTTTGGAGTCGGGGGCGCTTTCCGCCTCGGTGAACTCGAAAGTGGCAACTCTCCTCCGGGTAACTGGAGTGCCACAGCGGGCAGACGTCGTGACGACAGGCCTCGGAGAGAAGAGGGGCCCAAGGATGGCTCAAAGGATGCATAGGAGTTGGGAAGGCAGAGGAACAAGTGTGTTCAGAGATGCGAGGTCGTAGAGGGAAGGAGAGGGAGGGTGCTTGGTGGTCGGGCCGGATTGTGAGGGTCTCTAAGGCCAGCTGGGGAGTGGAACCTTTATCCAGATGGTGATGGGAACCATCTGGGATTCACACTGAGGAACTGGAGTCTCAGGAAGCGCCCCAGGCACAGATGGAGGGTGTGACAGGGCTGCGTGAAGCCAGCTGGGAGGCCACCTCAGTCAGCCCTGGGAGAGTGACCTTGGGGAATGGAGAAGAGGAGTTTATGGTTCTCAGGCCTGGAGCTGTGGATCCCAGGACTGTCTCTCAGGATAATGTTGCCTCTGCATTATCCTGAGAGCTTTCCGAATTACTTCCCGGCTGCCTCACATTTACAACCGGTGTCTGCCCACTACTCAGGGGTGTGTGCTTTGGTGGCTTCTCACACAAGCCTGTACTTTCCTATGGGAGAATATTTCCTAGGAAATGCAGCCTATATTCCAGTTCATCTTTGGCTTCATAAATCATGACTGTGTAGAAAGGCTTGAGTAACTTGAACCCATTTTACAAACCCATTTAATTCTCCTAATGTTGTGGAATATATCACATAGGGTGTAAGCAGTTCTTTTTTTTTTTTTTTTTTTTTTTTTTTTTTTTTTGCAGTCACCCAGTCTATAACCATGACTGTGTAGGTGCTGAGGGAATTTGAACTGTATTTGAGATAAACCTACTGACTTCTTAATGCTGGGAATATATCATGGCAAAGGTTTTTTTTTTTTTTTTTTTTTTTTTTTTTGAGACGGAATCTCGCTCTGTCGCCCAGGCTGGAGTGCAGTGGCCAGATCTCAGCTCACTGCAAGCTCCGCCTCCCGGGTTTACGCCATTCTCCTGCCTCAGCCTCCTGAGTAGCTGGGATTACAGGCGCCCACCACCTCGCCCGGCTAGTTTTTTGTATTTTTTAGTAGAGACGGGGTTTCACCGGGTTAGCCGGGATGGTCTCGATCTCCTGACCTCGTGATCCGTCTGTCTCGGCCTCCCAAAGTGCTGGGATTACAGGCTTGAGCCACCGCTCCCGGCCGGGTGTAAGCAGTTCTAACTGAACCTAGAATAATCCAGGGATCCCAATGAATGCTGATAGCCAGCCTGCTGGACAGACTGGTGGCTGTGTCAATTCTGGTGAGGAGGAGCCAGGACCCTCCCTGGGCCTTCCCCTGTGCCCTCCAAGCTGCTCCCCCTCCACCCCTGGCCTCTGGGATGGAGCAAGTAAGAGAAAGAGGAAATGCAGAGCCCCCACTTCCTGACATTTTCTCCTGACTTTATACCTCCCATCTTTCGCGCTAAACTGCCTGGCCCCTCTGGGATGACCTAGGATGAAGAGAGCCTCTCTTCCTGCAGATGATGGTCCTTGCCGTGTTTCCTCCTGTGCTGCAGGATGTTTGATACAGCTTCGTGAATGGTGACTACATGTGCACATTTAGGCTCCAAAAGAGTCCACATCTCAGCCCTGATAGGACCCTTGGCAACTGACTTAGGCTCACTGAGCCTCCATTTCCTATTCTGCAAAGTTAGAATCTTAGTAGCTCCTCGAATGTGAGGGATTGTAAGGGTGGAGTGGCTGATGTAGATACTTAATTTTTTTCTTTTTTCTTTTTTTTTTTTTTTGAGACAGATTCTCGCTCTGTCACCCAGCACCCAGGCTGGAGTTCAGTGGTGCGATCTCAGCTCACTGCAACGTCCGTCTCCCGGGTTCAAATGATTCTCTTGCCTCAGCCTCCCTAGTAGCTGGGATTACAGGTGCCCACCAACACTCCTGGCTAGTTTTTGTATTTTTAGTACAGACAGGATTTCACCATGTTGGCCAGACCTCAGCCTCCCAAAGTGCTGGGATTATAGGCATGAGTCAGTGCACCCAGGCTGATGTAGGTACAACACCAGGACAAGTGACTGGCACACATATGACAACTCTGTTATTAGTTGTCTCCCTGGTGTTGGTCTGGGATGTGGCAGTCTTGTGCCACATATTTCCTCCTGGGGAAGAATATGCTCACAAACATTATGGGCAGGCCAGTGGCCTGACCTTGTCCCAACCCAGGCTGTTATAGCTTCACAGACCCCAGTCAGTGTGGGTTGGGCTACTTGAAATGGGGGAAAGGATGTTTATTTTTTGTTTTTGTAGAAATCACAGGAGCTATGGCTTTCCACAGATTTAAATCAACATGCCTCTGGTTCCTGTGTGGTTAATTAGCTCTACCCAGCCTGCAGGCCTAGGGAGTTGCCCTCCTCAGAGTGGATTCCTGGCTATTAGCAGACCTCCAGGGTCTCTGCTGCCTTGGTGACAAAGGGCACAGCACAGTGGACCCAGGAGAACCTGAAAATGTAGGTTAGAGGTGCCCCTCCTCTCCTCTCAAACTCTCCCAGTTCTGTTTCCTTTGAGGAGCATTCCCAGGAACATGCCTGCCCTGTGTTCATTCACCCCTAACATTCAGCCCAGGGACTCCTACGGACCATGGGATGGTATTGGCCTCTGTTTATCTGGGGCTCTGATTCAATCTCCCATTTTCATTCACTGTCCCAGAGGCTATTTCCCTCCTCTTGATCTAGACTGGGGCTTCTTAACAGCAGGACCTTGTCTGACTGGTCCTATCCCCTGGGCTGGCCTTCAGCAGGCCCTCTGAGGCTGATGGTTGTGCTGGATTCTCCACGATGCTCTGAGCATTTCCCTCACCTGTGCCTCTAAGGGGTCCACCAATCACCAGGCTTAAAAACACCCAGAGAGATCTTTGGCTTTAGCTGCTGACCTAATAAGTAACAGGGAGAGTGCTGGGATTGCATCTGGTTTCTCCTCATGGAGGGGTTGTTGATGAGCTGTCTTCACTTATCCAGGAGAATTCACTAGGGTTGACTGTGCTTTATGACAAATGAATAAACAAACCTTTCAGTTTGTGCAAGCCAGCTGTGTGGTGTGTCAAGTATCGCTTCCTCCTGGGTCCAACTGCTGCCCCACCAGGGACAGGATGGACCTAGAAACTCTGCAGGATTTTCCCAGTCCCCTAAGCTTCACTTGCTGAAATATCTTCCCACTTCAGCATAACGTGTGACACATGGCAGCCATTTTGGAGATGGCCAGATGAGAGGACAATCAATCCACATGCCTAAATGGAACTGACGGACACCCCCCAGCTTGCTTCTCCAGCCTATGTTCTCAGACACTTGCAGAAGACCAGAGGGAAAATGGAATCAGAAAACAATAACAACAACAAAAAACCATCCAGGGCCATGCACAGTGGCTCACTCCTGTAATCCCAACACTTCGGGAGGCCAAGGCAGGTGGACTGCTTGAGCTCAGGAGTTTGAGACCAGCCTGGGCAACGTGGCTAAACCCTTTCTCTACTAAATACAAAAACTAGTTGGGTGTGGTGGCATGCACCTGTAGTCCCAGCTACTTGGGAGGCTGAGGTGGGTGGATCACCTGAGCCTGGGAGGTCGAAGCTTCAGTGAGCTGTGATGGTGCCACTGTGCTCCCACCTGGGTGACAGAGCAAGACCCTGTCTCAAAAAAACAAAACAAAATGAAACAAAAAAATTCAGGTGGGAAAAGGCCCAATCAGAGCCAACCCACTGCTGGGATTAGTGGAAATGATTAGTCACCAGAAGGCAAATCGTGGAAGAATGAAGAGATGACAGGACCTTAGGAACTACGCCCAGAGGCCAGCTGTGCCATGGGCAAAGCACCATGCAGGTCATCCCCAAGAAGGGAAGAACAGGTAGAGCTCAGACTCTTCCCTGCTTCCCCGTAAGTCCAGTTCACCCTGGGCTGATCCTTTCAGCATGGCAGCCTCCGTGGGGAGGTACCAGATCCAAAGATGAAGATGTCTATGGGGGTGAAGAAGAATGGCAAACTTTGCAGGCAAGAGTAGGCATTAGAGAGATCAGAGGAGGAAGACAATAGAGAAGGATGACACAGGATAGGCTACATCTAGAGGATATAGTGCCATGGACTTGGGACTATTCCGGAGAGGCTGAGAGAGCTGGCTCCTGTCTACAAGGCTCCTTCTTTTTGCACCACCCCAGACAACAGCGGTTCAGGCACCCTTCTTTTTGCTAAAGTGCTGCTGAGGCCTGTCTCACTTCCCAATGAGAAGCGACTCAGGAAATTGGCTCCCTGCCCCGTTCCTTCTTTGGGAGAGAGAAACAGAACTGAAGAGGAAGGAAGGAAGCCCAAAGAAACAGAGGTTTTCTTTCCTGGCCGAGGTTTGTTGGCACTGCCCACTAACATAGAGAATAAAGCGATTCCCTAAGCAAGCCTTAGGCTGGCATGAGGCTACAAACAAGTGATTGTATCTTCATTCTGCTCAGCAGCCCACCTGGGCTGGCCTGGACAACCTCATTGGTATACTGAGGTCTTAAGCTGGCCATGGCCCTTGGGAAAGCAGGAGAAAGGAATAAGCCTGGAAGGTACAGAATTTGCTTGATGCCTTGCCTACATAATTCCTTTACTGTTGCAATTTGCAACTCTTTGCTTGCATTATG